TTGACAAGCTCTCAAGGATCTGGATTAGGAAAACCTGAGGTTCTTTCTGAAAACCACCCTGGCGACAAAGGAAAGGATAAAATCACAGCCAACTGATTCCTGTCAATCATCTGTACAGGGTGGGAGGGACACTGGGATGCTTCCAGCGTCTCCAGCTCTCCAACTGGGAACCGTCAGGGTGGGCTGCAGCTTTCCAACCCGTTCTTGTACCCCTGAGCCAAGACCCTGGTGCAGGGCCTACGAGCTTTGGGAATAAGAGTGACTTTTCCTGCAGGGTCTGGAAGCAGCAAAGATTAGGTCAAAGAAGGTTTTTCCAGGCTAAGCCCATGCAGAGGGAAGAGCTCCCAGTGCTGCAGCCAGGTCACTTTGGCCATGGCACAGCCAGACAGGGATGGAGCCTGTGGCTGCCTCGGGGTGCACGTGCCCTGTCCCAGGCACCCAGTGACTCCTCATCCTGCTGGCAGCTCCAGAGCCCAGCTCTCCTCCCAAAGCAGCCTCTGGCTCTCCTTATCTGACTGTTCTGCTCTTTAAAATTAACAGCAGCTCTCGCCAGGCGCTGATACAGAGACAAAGATGATTTTTTTTCCTGCTGATTATTTGACAGGGACGAGCCCCTGGCTCAGCTCGGGCAGCTTTAATAACCAGCCCAGCTCCGTCAGATTGGGATGAATTAATGCTGCCTCGCACCAAAACTCTCAATTTTGCAGAACTTCAGTGACTGCTCTGACAATTTCCACCCCTCTTACCCCCAAAAAATACCAATGGATGATGAGTATTTTTAATGTTCCCCTATTTAAGTAAGATATGAGGGAAAAGATGAAGAAATCTCGCGTGTGGAATCAGAGACTTCTAAAGGAAATGGAGCTGATGGGCAGCGACTGGCTCTGGATCAGGATCACGGTAAAAATCCATTAGCCCTGGACTGCACACTTATCCCAGGGAAAATCGGAATTATTGCCGCAGGCTTCAAAGAGATGCCTGTGGAGAAGCAAAGGTTTGGGTTTCCTTCAAAGGAAAAAGAAAAGAAGAAGAGCTAAAAATGACCAACAGTGTCCAGCCCTGGTTCCCGTTCTCATGTGGGGCAATTCCCAACGGCTGGACCACCCTCAGCCCACCCTGCCCTTGCCCCACAACCACTTTTCCCCCTTTTTGCTCGCCCCTGGGATCCCCCGACGGGGAGCCAGCTGCGAGGTCGGACCCGCGGTCTGTCGCCTGCCGCCCCTGCGCGCTTCCCGTCTGTGCCGAGTGGGGAATGCCTGGAGAGGCCCGCAGCCATCCGGCCCCGCCGGGCCGAGGGCGGGTGCGCCTTCCAAGGTCGCGAATGCGGGCGGAGGGATGATGCGCGTCCCCCCCAGCACTGCGAAACCGCGGGTGGGAGAGGTTCCTGTCCCTCCGGGACTGAAAGGCTCAGGAAGCGGGAGGGAAAAAAAATAAATAAATAAAAAATAAAAGACAAAACAGGACAAAAAAACCCCCAACAACACAAAAATCCCGCCGAGAGCGGTGGTGCCGGAGCCTCCCGGTGAAAATCACCCCGCGAAGGGAACGCTCCTCCTCGTCCTCACGGGAACAGCGGCGGGCAGCGGGCGGCTCCCAGCCCGGAGCACCACGGACCCCCGGCAGGTAAGAGCGCTCCGGGACCGGGGCGGAAGAGGTGGTCGTCCGAAAAGACCGGGACCACCCCAAAAACCAGACAGAGCCGCGGGGTTCAGCTTGTACCGGAGTGGGAGCGGGACCCTGGCGAAGCACAGAAGGGCTGGTTCGACTCCTGCGGGGGCATGAGGCAGAATTAAAGAGTTCAACCGAGCTTCAGAATTTTCATTCTCTAATAGTTAATGAGCATTTTGGCTCCTCGGCTGCAAGTTTCCGGATGATTTTTGTGTTCCCGCCCCGGGCAGGGCACGGGGACCCGGAGCTGTGATACCACAGCGTGCGCTCTGCCTGTGCAGCCGGGGTGCAGAAAACCACAGTATCCCTCGGTTAATTACAGGGGTTACTTAATTAATGCTGGTTTGACACTCCACTGGGGGAAAAAGACTGTTCAGATTCTAGTGAGGGGAATGAAACATTAATTTTGACACCGTGGGGTCCAAGAGAAGGGTCCTGGAGGGGAATTCTTCATTTCCATACACTTTCTGCTGGCATATATTTGACCGCATCCCCTCTGTGCTTCTGTGAGCGGGTTTGTGGAGGTTCCCAGGGAACCAGGCATTCCCTTCCTCCTTCTGTCCCTCCCAGCCCAGCTGCTACAGGGAAAGACAGGAGAAGCCGAAGTTCCGTGGATGGTGGAGAAATAACTTAAGGGGGTGAAATAATCCAGCAGGATGGGGGAATGGGGCTGGCAGGGAGAGACACGGGAGTGCAGGGGATAGAAAGGACCCTCCTGCCCAGCCGGGTGGGCGGAGGCTGACGGGGTCGGGGTGGAATTAACTGGGGTAAATGAAAAGCGAGAAATGCAGAACTGCCTTTTATTTCTGCCTCCATGAGGCTTCCGGAGCTGCTTTCCGGGTCCTGCTGCCCCAAACTGGCAGCTCCCCGCAGATCTGGGCTGGCTGATTAACCATTTCACAGCCAGCTTCCCAACTTTGCTCCCTGCCAGGGGCTGTGCAGGAGGACCTGGACGCTGGGGACAGCTCCTTCTGCCCTGAAGTTCAACCCACACGCGTTTCTCTCCCCTCCAGGGCTCTGCTTGACTTCGAGGTGTGGAGAAGCCGCATCGGCCACAGGGGCTCCCATGGCTCAGCTGCCCAACGACTCCTGGCACAACAGCACAGTCCCCCTCTTCACTGGCCTGGACCTGCTCCTGGAGCTGAAGCCGCTCTTCATCCCGCTCTACGCCACGCTGGTGGCCGTGGCCTGCACCGGGAACCTCTTCCTCATCCTGCTCATCGCTCTCACCAAGAAGCTGCACTGCACCACCAACTTCCTGATCGGGAACCTGGCGGTGGCCGACTTCGTCATGTGCCTGGCCTGCGTCCCCCTCACCGTGTCCTACGCCTTCGAGGCGCGGGGGTGGCTCTTCGGCGCGTTCATGTGCCACTTTGTCACCCTGCTGCAGGCTGCCACCGTGTTCGTGTCCGTGCTGTCCCTCACGGCCATCGCCATCGACCGCTACGTGGTGGTGGCGTATCCGATCCGCAGGCGGATCGGCCGCAGGGCCTGCGTGTGCCTCGTGGCCTGCATTTGGCTGCTCTCCATCGTGGCCTCCGTCCCCACCTCGCTGCACACCCACTACCTGGACCTCAACGCCATCGGCCACGACATGATCATCTGCGAGGAGTTCTGGAGGCACGAGGAGAGGGAGCGGCTGC